TCGCATGAAGAAGCGCGTAAACAAAAAGGCGCCGCGTGGCAGGAAAAATCCTAATTACTGAATTCCTAAATTCCTATCTAATGCGAAAAAAAACATGAATTCTAGAAGGAAAGTCCGAAATTCCGAGAGCCATTGGGGGCTCGACAAAATTCGAAAAAGATTCAAGAGGAAATTTAGAAAGAACGAAGCAATTTCCCGCGCGATGTCCGCGCCCAAAAGGATCGAAACCGAACCGAAAGAAACGACGTCGACATTTATTAATCGCACGCGCGCGTGGCGTCGCGCCAAACAACCATCCGACCAATCAATCCACCAGCCATCCGAAGACATACCCGACCCCGTGCTTGGCCATTCGAAAAAGAAACGACGAAAAATGACGAAAAAGCGAGGACACTGATGCAATTCTCCACAGATCCCAATCTCCCGTAATTGGCCCAATCTTCCCAGCTTAGGATCCCTCATTGCAACCGCGCAGAAAATCGCGCGTTACAGAAAGTGGTTCGTCACGTATGTGACGCCCAGGGGGTTCCAATATTAGCAAGCTCCTGCTTGCTTGTTGACACGTGTCGATTTCTCTAATCGATCCACACGTGGAGCACTTCACTTTATGCCACTTACCGTTCGATTGCGTGCGGACGTCATCCAACGTGGCAGTTCTGCTCTTCTACTAGTTCCTCAGATTGGGCTCTCGACGATCCAAGGACGGGATCTTTCTCGTGTCGTCGCCGCGACACGTGCCATCAACCATGCATCAGTGTAAAAAGGGGGGGTAGACCCTAGACCTTAGACGTTTCCGGGAAATGGTAGTCGGATCATCGAGGGTGGAGGTGGCGGATGGTTCAGGGGGAGAGGGGGCATGAAGCGATTAATGGCGGGAGAGGTGAAATTAGGAAGGGTAGCGTAGTGGAAGGAGCGATGGATGCGGGGGAAACGAGGGACCTCATGAAGATGACGAAAGGCGGCAATATAGTCGGGGTAGATGGTGGAGAGGGTCCGTCGCAGGGCGGCGTGGAAATCTTCATAATTTTCGCAGGCGGGAATAGTTCCAGACACAATACAGTATATTTCTACGTGGTTATATTCCCGCCAGTCTGCGCTAAACAGGAGCACGTGAAGGAGAAAGGAGTCAACCACAGAGCGAGTAGTGACGTGTGGATAGACAGAGACTAGAAGGCGGGTAGCGTAGAGATGGTAGAAAAGGTGATGAGGGAAAGGACACCAACCATCGGGGAACGGGGGTCTATGGGGAAGGCGGGTGAGCATGAGGTAGTCACGGGGTCGGTGAGAGAACGACCGGGAACGAAGCCCGAACGCCGAGATCTTGACGTAGACGAAGGGAGGATCGGGACGGGGAACCGGAGGGAGCTGGCGATTCACTTCTTCTTCTTCTTCTGCCGCATGATCCCCTCGTTGTGGTTCCATCGTCTTCCTCCTCTGGCGGCTCTGGATCACGCCACGGGTCCCCGATCGTCGGATCGACAGAGGATACGTCTGTTGCGGGTCGCTTTCCCTCCGTGGTCTCCTGGCGCTTCCGTTTCCTCCGCTCTCGTGCTCGTTCTCGCGCCGCGTCGCGCACTTCAGCCTCGAATCCTTCGCACTCTGATCCTGATAGCCCGCTTCCTTCTTCTTCTTTTGATTCCACCCCTTCGTCCTTTACCTGCGGCTGATGTGATTCGTCGGCTATCCCTGCCTCTCTTTCCGGTACGTAGTCCGGATCGTCCCGTTCCTCACTTGATGGCTCTTCTTCTTCCTCTTCTTCGTTTGCTCCCCTTATCTCCTCGTCCTGCGCGATGTTTTGTCTCGCAATCGGGTCCCAAAACGTGAGATCGGTAACGTCGATCTCCAAGTAGAGCGCCTGGGAGGGATAGAGACAATTGTCCTCGTCGATTTCCGTGCATGTGGACCATACAAGGTGCGGCTCGAGCGTTCGAGACAGCACGTGGGTGCCAGGCTGCTTGTCACTGCGCGACAAGATGTCCAGGGGCAGATCGTCCGCTAGCTGAGTCAAAAACACCAGCAACTCGTCCGTCATCAAGGTGAGATTGCCCTCCTCCACCTTCCCGAACAGGAATCCCAGCAGGTCGCCCTGCTCCGCTGTCCTCCAAGCTTGGATGATCAGAAACTCCATGCTGTCTTCTGGTTGCTCCGGCCCTTCTTCGAATGGGGCCGCCTCTGACCAGCGGAACTCTATCTCCAGTAGGCAGAAAGCAAGCTCGATATAGTTCTCCCACCACGCGTCCCACTTCTCCTCACTCAATAGCGGCGCACTGTTCTCCTTAACACGGTAGGAGAGGGTGGGATCCCGCGCAGACTGCCAAAGGGTGGGGATGCTGGAGGGGAGGCCGAAATAGGAGACGCGACGAAGACTCATTGGGGCGGCTGGAAGGGACGAAGCTCCGGAAGCACGATCGCGGGCGAACTTCGAGACGAGCGGAGCTGGAGGTCCGTGTCATGCGCCGGTAAGATGGTATGTCCTCGTCGAGCCAGAAGATCCGTTCACGCCGTCCTCACTTCCCCAGCCCAAGTGCGCAACGTCCGATAGATGTCGGAGTGATTCGCCGACGGAATCGTTGTGATATCCCCCGTAAAGACGACAACGACAACGAGATGGCTAATCCCGGGAGGGGATAGCCATCGAAAGGCCGAGATTTCGGCCAGAACGCACGTAGTTGCTTCTTCTGCGAATTGGAACTCCGCCGCCACGTAGATCGCCGACGTACTGAAGAAAGTCGTAAACCGGAGAAGATCCGAGCAAAGATGGGGCCGCTGCACCTGCCGTATGACACTGATTCCCCCCCCCCGGGAGTAAGAAGCCGCGCGCCGATCATTTGCTCCGTCGCAAAGCTCATGGTGATGATGTCGGGGTAAAAGAGAGAGAACCGGAAGGAGACGGTGGGAGGGGAGAGAGATAGTCGTCGCCTTCCTTCTCGGAGGAGGAGGAATCGGATGGAGGCGAAGATGAGGAAGGAGGAAGGGGACGGAGGTAGGATACGTGGCGGATGATTAGTCGAGCCAATCAGTTGCCGGAGACCTCGGGCGCAAGTCGCACGGTGTTCACACCGTTCAATCCGAGTTCGATCACGAGAAATCGCCCGAAGAATCGTGGCGCTAGCTTACCTTGGCGAGCACATTTCCTCACCTGCACCACGTCCCCCAATTTGTATTGGGGCCGCGGACCCGCATTCCCATTTCGGGCCTCGTAGCTTCGGACCTGTCGGCCCTGGGCTAGTTCGGTCATTTTCTGTCGCTTTCGGGCTAGCCTGGGCAGCGACCGTTCCATCAACTCTAAGTGTCGTTTGGCCTTGTCCCGAGCCGTAGCCCTGGTGGGCCGTCGGTTCAATGTAGACTCATCCGGGAGGCTTGGAATCGAAACGCAAGCAACACTATTGGATCTTAATTGGAAGGGGCTTAGCCCCGTCGATTCGTGGGGTGTTCCGCGATGGACCGCCAGGATGTGATCGACGATATTGGACCAGGGTCTCGGATCCCGTGCCGCGATGTTTCGTCGCAACGCTGTCTTTATCATCCGGTTAGCGTTTTCGACCAGCCCATTGGATTGTGACATGTGGGGTGTCGTGTTCCATATGGCGACGCCATGTATGACCAGACTCTTTAACACTTCTCCTCTGAATTCAGCCCCGTTATCGGTCAGGATCTCTTCCGTATCCTGATGCATCCCGAGGAAACGGTTGACATATCGCGCGATTTCYGTGGCTTGCCGCGTGCGACAAGGATACRMTTCGATCCATTTCGAGAAATGGTCGACAAATACCAATAGGATTGAATATTCGCAGCTATTAGGGCCAGGGGGCACCATTATGTCGGTAGTGTCCATGCTCACTCTTTGAAATGGTCGTTCAACAACCGTGGGCACTATCGATCTTGGCGGATGAATCGGCGCCTTATCAGCGGCGCAGACTTGACAGTTGGCAACAATGTATTTCACATCGTCGCGGATATTGGACTAGTACTACTCATTTTTGTCGATAGCGGACTCTGTGATTCGTACAGCAAAATGAGCCGCAGTTTCCTCGTGGGCTGTCTTAACCCAGTCATACCACATGAACGGATGCGGCACCACCATCCAAATCCCACTGCCGTCCGTTTTTCGTTTTTCTAATCTACCCTCTATCCATCGATAATCCCGAGCCCTTTCGTTGGCCCTCCTCCGATCTTCCTTGGTGAAATCCTGGAGGGGGTTACCTACTAGTAGGGTGGCAATTAAGGCAATATCCGTCCATACTTCGGCCCTTCTGAACTTTCGGGTCTTTTCCAATCCTTCTGACGTGGCATCCAAAAAGCGAGCCTCGGTCGGAATTTTGTCGGTTCGGCACAAGGGGCACAACCATGGTTTACTATTGTTCCTATATTGGATGCACGAGTCATGGGCCCATGCAACACACTATCAGCAATCTATCCAATCCGCATATCCTACCCCGTTAGGACACATGGAGACCGAATAGACGTGGGAGATGGCTTCGCAAAAACAGCAAAATTTGTCAGGCAGGGAGGGGAGAAACGAGGAGGAAGGGGCAGAAAGAGGGGTAGTCGGGTTACCTCCATCACCCATCGCCACCGTTTTGCTTCTTGCCACGTGGGAGAACTGCCACTTGTCCGAACTTCGGCTCGTTGGTCAAGTCCGGCTCTTTCCACGGTGTAATTTCCTCGCCCTTTGGTACCTTGGCAGGTCGATGCAGACGTGTCAGCCCGTCCGTGTTGCCGTGTCGCTCCGTCTTTCGATGAACGATATCGAAGTCGTATTCTTGTAGTCGCACCGCCCAACGACCAATCATGCCCGTGTAGTTGGTGAGCTTCTTCAAAGCTAGCAGGGGTTCGTGATCCGTCATGAGGCGAAACTTCTGTTCGTAGAGATACGGATGGAAGTGCTGGATTCCCCAGACCACTGCATAGCATTCGCCTTGAGGCGCTGAGTCGTTCCTTCGTTCATCCGGCACGGTTCGTGACGCATACTCGATGACGTGTTCGCGACCATCGTTCCCCTTCTGCGCTAGAATAGCGGAAATAGCCTCCGGTTGCCAGACCGTGATGAGAATGAACTGCTTCGAGGTGTCTGGTCGAATCAAAATAGGGGTCGTTGCCAGATCGTCCTTGAGGGTTGCAAAGGCCTGCTGGCACTCCGCGTCCAAGCTGAGAGGCCGGTCCTTCCGTAATAGATTCGTTAGTGGTCGTGCAATCGCGGCAAAGCCCTTGATGAAGTGCCGGTAATACGACGCCAGTCCCAAGAAGGTTCGAACCTGCGTCAGTGGTGTAGGAACCGGAGCTTCCTTCACCGCCGCAACTTTTCTTGAATCAGGCCGCAATCCTCCACGTGTCACGACATATCCCAAGAACGAAATTTCCGAGAGGAAAAATTCACTCTTCTCAAGCGCAATCTTGAACCCAGCGTCTCTCAATGCACCCAATGTCCATTCGATGTGTTGCACGTGCCCGTGATAGGTTTCCGAATAGACCAGGATGTCGTCCATGTACACGATCACACATAAGTTAATCATTCCTTGCGTTAGTCGTGTCTTGCTGACGAAGTTCTGGAACGTCATGTTCATCGCTTGCTGGAACGTGGCAGGCGCATTGCAAATCCCCATCGGACACCGAACCCACTGCCACGTGCCTTCAAACAACACAAAGGCTTTCTTCAGCCGATCTTCTTCCCTTACCAGAATATGATGGAAGCCATGCCGAATATCAAACTTACTGAAATATTTAGCGCATCCAATCGCATCCAACAGATCATCAATCCGGGGGAGGGGATACACATCTTTGATCGTGATTTCAATAAAGCTTGCGATAATCAATGCAAATGTGAATCCCTCCATTCTTCTTCAGTACTAACACTACGGGAAAGGACCAAGGTCCGGTAGCGGGTTCAATCCAGCCGCTGGCTTCGAACTCCCGAATTCGTTCGAGAGCCTTTTTGCGTTCAATCAAGGAATACCGATAAGGTTTGCAATGAATCGGGGTGTGATTTCCTATCTGAATTTCATGTTGGATTACTAACGACAACCCAATGTCAACGTCTGACACACTAATCGCTCCTTGATATTCCGTTAGAATATCCGCAATCACCCGGTGGATTTCATCCGACACATATTGTGGAACGTGCAGTTCAAAAAGTTGGTCCCAGATCCGAACGTCAATCTGTTTCGTGTTCGCCTGTTTTGTCAARTCGGGTGGAGGCGCCGAGATGAATGAATGATCCGATCGCGAGGAGAACACCGTGGCCATCATCTGAGCCTCTTCTTCTCGGATTGCCACGTGTTCTTCCAGGGTAATCCCGTCGCGGACATCCTGCCATGGCACTTCCTTAGTTGCAATCTTTATCCCCAGTCCATCTGTTTCTGCTTCAAAACGCCCAGGGGGTTCTAGAAAGCTTGCTTCCGCCCCCAAGCGTAACAATCTCACTTCTTTAGCCGATGTTAGTAAAGACCTAGGTAGTTCCGTAATGTCGCAATAATGCTTTTTGTCGTTATACCTGATGAGGAGAGGGGTGATCCTTTCATACAGAGTTTGAGGGGGTTCCAAAGAGTCGACCATCCTCGAAATCTGCACGAGGGGCTCTCCCAAGATCATCGCCTTGGTCCTTTGAATTTTTCGGCTGGTCAGTTGCATCGTTCTCGCTATCGTTTTGGGCGGCGGGTAGTAAACGCGTTGTCGTACCAATTTCAGGATCTCCGGATCATCTTTGTCACTGCTTTCCGCATCATCAGTTGATGGCTTCCCTTCTGCGGGTTCGTCCCAGGAGATCATGCGGAGAGTCCCTGCCATCATCGGCGAAACCCGCGGAACCGCGTTAATAGTAGTGCGAAGGGTCAATCGCATGGGTACAGCGTAGAGTTTTCCTCCTGTATTTCGGAGGATGATCGGTCGTCGTTCGAAGTCCAGGTTTGCTCGTAATGCCACAAGAGCGGGAAGTCCGAAGAGAACGTCGTACGTATTGACATCTAGTACTACGAGATCCCCAAGCGCGTGCACTTTACCCAATCGGAAAGCGACATTGGTCATTCTTCCCACGGTTTTAATTTTTTCTTCGTTAGCCGAAACGAGCTGATCTTTCTCAGAAAGCGTGATCAAGTAGTTTTTCCTACCTGGCCTTTCGACCACCCTCAGTGAAATAGCCAACACAGCCGCTCCCGAATCTATAATAGCATTGTAAGGAATTCCCCAGATTTCTATATCACACTCGGCGGATTTCCACGGAATTGGTTTAATTCGCAAGAAATGATCGTCTTTCTAAATTAATCCTACCCGTATCGGATCCGGAGTACTTGCGGGGTTTTCTTCGGGCGCGGGGCTTTTGGCTTTCGCGTTCGGTGTTCGGGCGAGGGCGAATCGTTTTCGGTTCGCTTTGCAATGCTGCAACATTCGCTCGTTGGCTTGCTCGGAGATCGAGAGTAGATGACCGATCGGAAGGGGAATCCGATGGTCCAAAGCTCGGATGATGTTTAATACATCGATTTCTCCTGTGACGAAGGTGGGTCCTCCCGACTCCATTTCTCCTAGGGACGGTCGCCACTCCGCCACCTCTTTTGGTTCTGGCGCTGGTCTGATTGTCCCGATCATTCCAATCCCAGGATATCCCAGCGATACGTACTGATCTAGCGGGATTAGTTCGGCGGCCTCTTCCGAGGTAGCCAGGGCACTTCCCCCACCCTCTACTTCTTCCATCAAGGCTCCAACTCGTCCAGGTCCGTTGGCGATGGGAGTCGAGGCCATGGGTGCGGCTCCGGTCCACGGTTGTGGGGGTCGGTGGGGGCAATCACGGGCTAGATGGCCTGGTTGATGACAGGCGTAACATACATTCAGATTGTTTGCGACTCCTCCGAGCACAGGGGCCGGGGCTAATCCTTGCTGCGTCGGAGGGGCACGCACCGCGCACCGCAATGGGTCGCGTGTTCCTCATCATGGCTTCTAGCCGAGCATTATGCTCTCGCTGCTCCTTTTTGCTTTCTTGGATCAGACTAATCAAGGTTTTGGTTAGTTCAAAAATGACCGCCGATTCGTTTGATCGTACAGGCGCCTCAACCGGTGGCAGGGGTAATGCCCTGACGGGCGGGGGCATCATAGGAGCAGAGATGCTCGGTGTCTCACTTAGGATTACTCGTTTGGGGCCTATCTGTTCCATATAGGTGACAGGTCCTGATACGAACCCCATGTTTTCAAATTTGTTCTGTAAAGCAGCCAGCTCTGCTCTGGATCGAGTGAGCTCCGTCGAATCTCCATCTCTAGGGTAATCTTCTCCTTCCAGGAAGTTCGCCGCGAACTTCCGTTTCATTTCTTCCGCAGCAGCCATAATTTGTTGTAGAGTATGAGTGATGGGGGAAAATTGCTTTCGCAACTTTGCCCTTATCGTTCGACTACGAAGTCCGTCAATGAACAAATCTCTCCCGACTTGCTCACCTCGCTCAGTTTTTACGAACATTCTATAGAACCGGTTTCGATATTCCGCAACGGATTCGAGGGGTTTTTGCACTCGATCCTTGATCATGTACAGAGCTTGCTCGGGGTGGACATAATCGAATCGGTTCATAAAGTCCCGTTCAAAGGTCGGGAGATCCACCCACACATAGGTACTATACCAGTGATGAGTGTCTCCTCCCATTCGAGCCGGAATGTTGATTTGTGCTTCGTGATCGTTGTACTGTTGTACTCTAAGCGTGGCCAGCCATGCTCCTGCGAGATGGTGCGCTGGATCAAACAGATAGAGATTTGGTGGCGACATGGGAGCTCGTGCACGTGGGGCAGGTTGATTAGGTGGATTAGAATTTTGTTGCGGAACCGGATTGTGCACATTGGCAGCCATATTGGCTGCTCGTCGGTTAGCCGATCCGCTTCTGGTGATGATAGGGTCGCGTTTATGCGCGTTCTGAGGGCGAGGTCGCCCACGGTTAGCCAGGTCGCCTAGTTAACGTGCTATTAATCCTGAGACCCTAGCCACGTGTCGGGCTCCGATACCAACCTCACGCCCAGCGCGTCTTCCTGATCGGAATGGAGTGTGGGCCTGGAAGTGTGAAAAGGGGTGTGCCAAGGATTTTTGGGGGAAGTGGGGGAGTCTTAAGGATATGAATGCAATCAGGCGAGCGAGGGGTGCGCACGCAAGGGTCTCACAGTCCCAAGGAACCGGGACACTGTGGACGACGGGTTACGGGAAAATTTCTCCGTGGTGGAGGTGGTCCCGGAAAGTTAGGCCG